ATGCTAATCATGGTGGCCAATTGCAACATTCACACTTGCCTCAATCAGGCAAGAGTTCTTTCTCCCACCCTGCACATTACACAGATATATAAACCTCACCTGCCTAGTTTCTAACAGACCTCACAAGCTCTGAGGATGCCTGCCATAGATGTGGGTGAAGCATCAGGAGATAATGCTTTTGGTGCATGCCATGGCCATACACCCCAGAAAACTCACAGCAACCCAGGTTTATTTTTCTTTTTAATATGCTCAGAATCTGGTGTTGTAATCCAATCTTATGTATATTTATAAGAATGCTATTCCTATTAAATTAAATGGGAATTATACTCCATTAGATGTACAGTAACATAGCAGAGAAGAGAAAAGACTTACATATATATGAACTGTGGTCAAACAAAGGATGTGACGCATAAGCCATAGACTTATTTCTAAAATAAAGGGTGCTAGACTTGCTAATTATCAAAGTAATGATTGTCCATGCCATTGTGTCTCCAATTTCGATGTATCGTTGTGAAACTTGGACAGTGAAGAAAGCTGATAGATGCATTTTGGAAATGGTGTGGAAGGAGAATTCTGTGGCTTTCACAAGCTTCCAAAAAGACAAATAGTGTCCTAGAGCACATCAGACCTGGACTCTACCTAGATGATTAAACTGAGACTGTCTATATTTGGACATCTCATAAGATGATGTTAGAAGACATGAGGAAAATATGAAGACCACATTACAGATGGATAAAATCAATCAAGTCAGCTACATCCCCAAATCTGCAAAACCTGACTTAGAGGTTTTTCCATTCAAAAGGTCACCAGAGACTGGTGTCAACTTAGCAGCAGTTAACAACAAACTGAGAACCAATGCCTATGCTAAACTGTATGCTGTCTAGCTTCAGAAGGAAACCTTCCTCTCTATGTTGTCTATTGAATCTTTACTATTGATGTCTGGCTTCGGATAGATCCTTATGGTTGTTCTGATTTGCTTAAAAGGTTATATACAGGTCCTTGGGAGGGCACTTAACAGAAACCTGCAGCAGGGAGGGAGACTGCATTGTACAGCTTAAGTACAATTCAGGTGCATCAGCACTACAGGATTAATGCAGTGTGACACCACTTTAACTCTCACGGATCAATGCAGTGGAATCCTGGGAACTGTAGTTTTACAAGATCTTTAGCCTTTGGCAAACCAAAGAGGGCTGGTGACTCACCAAACCATTAAGAAAACGTGTATAGTTAATTCACTGTGTTTCAAAATAACCTTTTCCCAATTTAAGAAACAAACAATTGTTTAATAGTAAGAGAAATGCTCTCTACACGTCAAAAGCTCATTTGTTCTGTCACATGTCCACTGAGAATGAAAACAATGGTTGCTGCAGGATTTCTGCAGCAGTCATAACAATTGCAAGTAACTGCATGTTCTTCAGTAAATGACATATATTTTAACCCACCACTATTTTTTATTGAAAATCTTTCACACAAAGCCAAAAGTCCACAAACAAAATATATCTAGCAGCACTTTGTGAGGAGCATTGGCAACATAAGCTGCTGCAAAGCAAATGTAAACAACAAAACCCCAAACAGAAAATCGCTGAAGAGGAAAGCCAGCCTGCTTGGTTATGTGCCTTGTTGTTAACTGCTGTCAAGTCAACCCTATAAATGGAGTCCCCGGTGGCGCAGTGGGTTAAACCCCTGTGCTAGCAGGACTGAAGACCTACAGGTTGCAGGTTCGAATCGAGGGAGAGCACGGATGAGCTCCCACTGTCAGCTCCAGCTCCCCATGAGGCAACATGAGAGAAGCCTACCAAAACATCAAAACATCTGGGTGGCCCCTGGGCAACCTCCTTGCAGATGGCCAATTCTCTCACACCAAAAGTGACTTGCAGTTTCTCAATTCTCTCACACCAAAAGTGACTTGCGACCTGTCAGTCTTCAGTCCTGCCGGCACAGAGGTTTAACCCACCTGGAAGGCCGAAGCTTACCCATGCCTGAACTAAAAAGTAATTGTTCCAAAATGCAATCTTTTTCCAGATACTTTGGTAAAAGGTTGACCATGTTATCTGATTTTTCTATCACTTAAGTCAGCAGCAATCACCAAACTGCTTTTGGAAAAGTTACTTTTTAGACCAGGCATAGGCAAACTTGGGCCCTCCAGGAGTTTTGGACTTCAACTCCCACCATTCCTAACAGCCCCGACCCCTTCTTTTTCTCACTTAACCACTTAAGTGGAAAAGGAAAAGAAAAGGGGTCTGAGGCTGTCAGGAATGGTGGGAGTTGAAGTCCAAAACACCTGTATGGTGAAAGTTTGCCCATGCCTGGGGTAGATTTTCCTCAGGCGGTTTTAGACCATAACTCCCAGAATCACCAGTCAGCGCCCGGGGGGTGGGGGGAGGAAAGGGCCAGAGCCTGTTGGGAATTGTGGGAGTTGAACTCTATAATGATGATGATGGTGATGATGATAATCTTTATTTATACCCCGCCACCATCTCTCCAACATGAGGCCAAGCCCAAAGATACATTACAGCAAAATAAAATACAAAATGCAGACAACAAAAATTACATCAGAATAAAATACATACAGTTGCAGAATAAAATAAATAAAGCAAATCGACACAATATAAAATTGAACACAATGGGCAGGTGAAATAGATGAGGTAAAATAATAAAACCCTGGAATAGAAATAGAAAAAGTGTAATTCAGAGGAGCCCGAAAAGGATGAACAGTAGGCTTTAGTTTAGGATGGGGGAAAGTACATCATAGGGGCAACACTGTAGATGGAGCAAACAGAAATGGGATAAATTTTCACTCTCCAAAGACACATAGGAAGAGCTAAGTTTTCAAATTTTTCTCAAAGGCTACTAAGATGGGGGCAGGGGTGGCTCAACATTATGCAAAGTAAGCATTTTCAGTATAGTTGATTTCGCCCAGGGGCACTCTTGAGGGAAAATAGACCTTGACATATGCGAGTTGTAGTTACTGGGATGTATAGTTCACCTACAATCAAAGAGCATTCTGAACTCCACCAATGATGGAATTGAACTAAATATGGCACACAGAACTCCCACGACAAACAGAAAATATATATCAGTGATTGGTTGGGGAGGGGGGGCACCAAAATACTGTTTGTTTACTTTGAAAATTACCTAGGGCCGCCTCTGGTCTTGCCTAATCTCACCAGGTAGTGAGTTCCAAAGTCGGGGGGCCACAGCGGAGAAGGCTTTCTCCCTCGTTCCCACAAGTCTTGCCTGTGATAGAGGAAGAGCCGAAAAGACGGGCCTCCCCAGAGGATCTGAGGGATTGTGCAGGCAGGAGATGTGGTCACCTGGAGGGCCAAAGTTTGCCTATGCCTGGGGTAGAGTTTCCTCAGGAGGTTTGCAAGCAGAAGCAGGGTGGCTAACTGTCAGGAGTATTTTATTGCATGGCAGAGTGCTAAACTTCCAGCTCTATAATGCTATGAATGTATGTGCCACATGCAGTGTGAGAATTCAGTGCTTCAGAGAGGCTTCCACAGAACTTCTTTCTATTGTGGGGGGTGATTGGGTAGGTCCCGGCCAAGAAGAGGGAAGGTTGGAAGCAGGCCCATAGCTGGGGGGGGGGGCTTGAGGGGCTTCAGCCCCCCCCCCCCAAATTCTCAGGGTGGTCCGCGAGAAGGCCTTACTGGTACATTATTTTAAACTGTTATGTTTATTCATATCATGATCTGATCACCATGCTCAATATATCCCATATACATGGGGGTATTGGAACAATGATACAAAAGGTTTGCTAGGGTAGATCCTGACCCCCCCCCCTCCCCCAAAATCAAGATCCTGGCTGCGGGCCTGGTGGGGTGTGTTGCTAGAAGTGGTGACCTTGGCCTTTGCTCTTTGACAGGAAAGCAGGAAGCCTGCTGAGTGAAGAGGGGGAGGGGAGTGAAACCTATATGTATGCATGTATGTGCCATCTTGTGTTCAGTGTCATCAGTTGGGAGGTCCTCCCCCAACACCAACTGCTACTATGGGACCAGAGTAAAGAGAGGGGTCCAGGAAGATATTGTATTTATTTTATTTACTAGCCGTCCCCTGCCATGTGTTGCTGTGGCCCAGTCTGTGTATATGTGTTTTGTGTGTGTATATATATGTGTGGAGCAAACTGAAATGGGACTTATCAGCTTTCCGCAGGGCATGGAAGGCATACCTGTTTCGACAGGCCTTTGATCTTTGATATTGCTGTTTTTAAATTGTGTTAGATTTTAGCCTGTTCTTGTAAGCCGCTCCGAGCCCTAGGGGAGTGGCGGCATATAAGTTTGAATAATAAAACAAATATGTGTTTTGCGCATGTGTTGTAATGTTTTTTTTTGGCTTTTAAAGTCTCTTCTGCTGTGTTTTTCAGTGTTTTTTGAGTGATGGTCACTCGTTGGCCTGATAGGTGTCTTGTGTCCAAATTTGGTGTCATTTTGCCCAGTGGTTTTTGAGTTCTGTGAATCCCACAAACGAACATTACATTTTTTTATTTATATAGATTGCATTGTATATTACTTGTAAGCCACTCGTGAGTCCCCTTCGGGGCGAGAAGGGTGGCATATAAATGTCATAAATAAATAAATAAATAAATGTGTATATCTAGGGTCCCAGGGTGCGCGCGCGCGAGAGAGAGAGAGAAAGAAAGAGACAGAGCCCAGGCGCGCCTCCTCGCCCGTGCGCGCGCGCGCTTTTGCCCGGGCTCTGCTTTGCCCAGTCCACCCACAGAAGGTTAGTCCATACACAGGAGAGAGCGAGGGAGAGAGGGAGGGAGCGCGCGCGCGCACCCCCACCAGGCGACGCTCCTGCTCGTGCTGCTGCTGCTGCTACCTCCAGCCCCAATTCCCAGGCAGGCGAAGGGAGATTATTCCGGCGGCAGGGTTGCCTCTGCTTCCTCCTACTCCTCCTCCTGCTGCTGCCATCCTCCGGCACTGATTTGCCTCGCCTTCCCCTCCTCGAGGAGATGGTGTTTGGGGTGGCAGAGGCGGGGGGCGGCTCTTCTTCCTCCTCCTCCTCCTCCTCCTCTTCCCTCTCCTTCGCGGGGGGCCAGGCGCGCGCCCACCCTGACAACAACCCAAACAAACGCGGCGAGGAGGAGGAGGAGGAGGAGGAGGCGAGCTGAGCGGAGGAACAGCCCCTGAAAAAGGCGGCGGAGGAAGAGGAGAAGGAGGCGGTGGCGGCGGCAGGAGAAGCGGGGGATTCCGGGATGCCTTTGTGCTTCCCCCTCCGCCTGGGTTTATGCTGAACGGGGTCTTTCCGAGGAAGGTAAGCACCGGCGGAGCGCGTGCGTGAGTGAGTGAGTGTCTCTCTCTCTGTGTGTGTATGTGTGTGTGTGTCTGTGGCGAGGCGGAGCGGGAAGCAGTTGAGGAGGGGGAGGACGGGGGGCTTGACAAGAAGGGGGAGAAGAAGGAGAATGAATCATTCCCCGCAGAGTTGCTTCTCCCTCTCTCTCTCTTTCTGAGGGACTGGCGCGTGGCTCCCTCCAGGTGGGCTCTCTGGGCGCGAGGAGGATGCCTGGAGTGTTGCCTAAGCCATGGAAAGGGGCGTGAGGGGGGTCGGTCTCGCCCTGCCCTCCTTTGCTTTCCTCAACGCCCAGGGAAAGGGCCGGGGTAGGTGGGTATTCGGGGGACCTTCCTCACAACGGAGCACGCCTTTCCCTTCTGCTTTCCCAGGCAGAAAAGCCCCACTTTCTTCCACAAATGGGATTTTTTAAACCATATTTCTTTTGGGAACCTGATGCTCCTCAAATACACTGGTTCTGCTCCTGAGAACGATAAATAAATACCTGATGCTACAAAAAGCGGGATGCCAACGTGCCTTGCTTGCCTTTTTTCCCCCGGCTTTGTTTGCAGCCAAGATGCCTCTAGTCTTTGCGCTTGAAAGAACTCCCTCCACCACAACAAGGCTCTCCTCAGAGTTGTAAATGTGCCTTCACGCCTGAGAGGCATTTACACCCAGAGCTGAGTTAGTTCTGCAGCTGTGATTTGTAAAATTGTGTGAGCTTTGCAGTGGAGCACCTCATGTACACATTCTTCCAAGAGGACTGGAGCATTCAAAAGTACAGCTCGGGAAAGTTACTTCTGAGGGCCCTTCCACACAGCCCTATATCCCAGGATATCAAGGCAGAAAAGCCCACAATATCTGAGTGTGGATGCAGATAACCAAGGGCCCTTCCACACAGCCCTATATCCCAGGATATCAAGGCAGAAAATCCCATATTAACTGAGTGTGGACTTAGATAACCCAGTTCAAAGCAGATATTGTGGGATTTCCTGCCTTGATATTCTGGGATATAGTCCTGTGTGGAAGGGCCCCAAACCCCCTCTCACACAGCTGAACAAAATCCCTGCTACTTTGAACTGGGATATATGGCAGTGTGGACTCAGACATTCCAGTTCAAAGCGGATATTATGGGATTTTCTGCGTTGATAGTCTGTAATATAGGGTTGTGTGGAAGGGTCCTGAGACTCAGAGATTAAGATCATCAGAGGAGGCCCTGCTCTCGATCTTTCACTGGGGACGAGAGACAGCCTGCTCAGTGGTGGCTCCTCGGGTATGGAAATCCTACCCCAGCAAACTTAGATCAACACCCTCCCTCCTAGCCTTCAGAAGAAAAGTAAAAACGAACAGGCCCACCTTTTTGAGCAGTAAGCAATACAAGGAATGATCGGAAATATGTGCAATAGATATTGATATTTGATGCCTAAGCCAAGGGGGAGTGAGGCAATTTGCTCTGCCCTCCTTTGCCTTCCTTAACGCCTAGAGAAACGGCCCTGGACTAGGATTGTTGAATTGTGTGATTTTAACATTTATATTAATATGTTTTTAACTCCACATTTAATGTTTAAATGTTGTTGCGTTTTTATGAATTAATTGATAATTGGGTTGTTGTGAGTTTTCCAGGCTGTATGGCCATGTTCCAGAAGCATTCTCTCATGACGTTTCAACCCCATCTATGGCAAGCATCCTCAGAGGTTGTGAGGTCTGTTGGAAACTAAGTAAATGAGGTTTATATATCTCTGGAATGTGCAGGGTGAGAGAAAGAACTCCTGTCTGTTTTGAGGTAGGTGTGAATGTTTCTGTGGGATCTCCCACCCTGGACATTCCACAGATATATAAACCCCTTTTTCCTAGTGTCCAGACCTCACAACCTCTAAGGATTCCTGCCATAGATGCAGGCAAAATGTCAGGAGATAATGCTTCTGAAACATGGCCAAACAGCCCGGAATACTCACAACAACCCAATGATTCCAGCCATGAAAGACTTTGACAATAATTGATAGTTGTGTGTTATTATTGTTTTGTGTTAGTTTGTTCTGTATGTGAGACATTGAATTTTGCCATATATATGTTGGACACCCCCCCCCCCCCCCCCCCGGTGAAAAAAGCAGTATACAAATGAAGCAAATAAATAAAGTCTCAGAATCCCCACTCTGCAGGCTGACTAGAGGATTTTGGGCATTGCAGTCCAAGCTCTGCATTTTAATGCTGGGGACAAGTCAGTCCATGCACACAGCTTATGTGCGTACTGTCCATATTTATAGTACCGCTTGGACTTCATTCAAATCAAGTTACATAATGATTAAGATAAAAATAAGCGGTGTATTTACAGTTTCTTCAACATTTCAACTTGCCACCCAAGCTCCAGCTGTCGCATCAGCGCCGAAATGAATGAATAATTGTTGTTTGCGTTCTCTTCCCCACCTCTAAAGGCAGCAGGCAACATTTGTCAAGAGGTAGTAGCGTCACTTTGCAAACAAACAGCCATCATGCCCTGAACACTAAGCGAAACAGATTTCAGTCAATAATCCTATCCTGTAATGCCGAAAAGCTGCCAGGGTCGGTTTAGGAGGAGGAGAATAGCAGCAAAGCCGGGGAGGCTTCGCAAGGGTGAGACCTGCCGGGTACTCAGGAGAGCTTTGCTTCTAAAAACAGGCAGACCTTTTTCCAGGTTTGCCAGGCTTCTCAGAGCGCCAGCCCAGGTTCAAGCGAGACAGTGGATAAGGTGCACTAAGGGACTACGTTATGAATTTCACTTTTTAGAGGGCTAAAAACAGGCCTGATCTAATGCATCCTGGAAGCAGTTTGGTGATTGCTGCTGATTTGAGTGATAGAAAAATCAGATCACATGGTCAACTTTTTACCAAAGTATCTGGAAAAAGATTGCATTTTGGAAAAGTTACTTTTTAGAGCAGGCATGGGCAAAGTTGGGCCTTCCAGGTGTTTTGGACTTCAACTCCCACAATTCCTAACAGCCTCAGGACCTTTCCTTTTCCCGGCTGAGGGGAAAAAGAAAGGGGCCTGAGGCTGTTAGGAGTGGTGGGAGTTGAAGTCCAAAACACCTGAAGAGCCCAACTTTACCAATGCCTATTTTAGATTGTAACGCCCAGAATCAACAGTCCGCATGTTCCGTGTTGAGGATGAGACCCAGAAATATGCTAATTAAAAGAAATCTCAAACACTGGAAAATAATTAGATAAGAACAATAAGATGCACGCTTAAATTATCTCCCCCCCCCCCAAATCTATTCTCCTTTTCAAACTGTTTATCAACTTTTCAATTCCATCATACATCTTAACAGATGTTTTAAATGCGCCAATATTCCCTTGTTTGATTGTTGTTATTATCTAGTGAATGTTCACGCTTGCACTTCCATCTGTTTGATAACCATGAAAACATCTTGTCACCCACTTCAGGAGGTGAAGGGTGCTCTATAGGATGTTTGTATTTCCAAGCAGCTTTCCATTAGCTTCAGCATTTTAAACATCTTTTGATGCCTTTGCATGCATTTATTTATGTCTGCACTGTTGCTACAAGTTTAATTGACATCTTGCCACTTGGCATTCAACAGCGTGGAGGAAGAAATAGACTTAAAGAATGCTCTTCTCTGGTGTGCTTGTAATTATGTTACAGTTTATGTTGTCTGGTCTTTTTTTTTTAAATTTTAGCATTCTTAATTTTTGTTAGCATGCCTTCATCTCTAGTGCAGGAGCTTCTGGTGCAATGGGTTAAACCCTTGTGCTGGCAGGACTGTTGACTGAAAGGTCGGTAGTTCGAATCTGAGGAACAGGGTGAGCTCCCATCTGTCAGCTCCAGCTTCCCATGCAGGGACATGAGGAAAGCCTCCCACAGGATGGTAAAACATCCGGGTGTCCTCTGGGCAATGTCCTAGCATATGACAAATCTCTCACAGCAGAAGCAACTTGCTGTTTCTCAAGTCGCTCTTGACAGGAAAATATCTCTAGTGCATGCAAAGTTTGTAATCTCTGTTAAACGTTTTCACCAGGAGTTCTTCAGTACCCTGCTGTATGTTTCCTTCATGAGAATATATTAAAACTTACAGTCAGCAGTGATACAGCTGACAGCTAAATATTCATACATTAGCATAGGAGAAAGTTATCACATCTCAAAAAAAGAAAATCTTTTGGACATTATAATTGACCACTACAGATACTATAAAAGCCAATGTATCCGTGTCGTTACAACCAATGCACGTAAAGAGCTTCAAATTATGGATCTTATTTTTAATGTTTTTCTGAATCAATGTTAATTTATATTGGTATGGAAGTTGCATGTCCTAATCCTCTCTCTCTTAAACACCAACATTTGTGTGAATATTTCAAATACATACAGAAACTTTTATAAGTTTAAGTGTTCTGGTGTTAGGTAGTGATGGATTGTTCCAAATATGTCATTTGTATCACTTGGGTTTTAAATCAGAATCAGTTCCAGAAAATCTGGTGAAAACAGGCCTTGTTTAACAATCACAGTGTCAAAAGTGAATAAGCCGAATATAAGCCGAGGCATCTAATTTTACCACAAAAAACTGGGAAAATGTATTGACTCAACTATAAACTGAGGGTGGGAAATGCAGCAGCTACTGATAAATATCAAAATAAAAATAGATACCAATCAAATTACATTAATTGAGGCATCAGTAAGTTAAACGTTTTTGAATATTTACATAAAAATGTAATTTAAGATAAGACTGTCCAACTCTGATTACACCATAATTCTAACTTCTTCAATGTAAATGTACCGGTAATAAATGTAATATTAATAATAAATAAAATAATGCATGTAATCATAATAATAAATATAGTAAAATAATACATGTAATACTGCTACTAATAATAATAACAACAACAACTACTACAATAACAACAGAGTAAAGTAATAAATAACTTTGACTCAAGTATAAGCTGAGGGGGGCTTTTTTGACCTAAAAAAGGGCTGAAAAACTCAGCTTATACTTGAGTATATAG